ATCAAAAATCAATAACCATGACTCTATTTTCTAAGTTGTCTTCTATTTTTTTCTATTTACAAGTAAATATTGTACCATCCAACTCCTGCCCCAGTATTTGCTTTCTCTCATTCTCATTCTCTCCTTTTAATTCTCTCCTTAGAATAAAATCCAAACCCTTGGGCCTAGAATATAAAGTTTGTGACAATCCTGCCTCAGATTATTTTTCGTAACTTGTCTCTCCTTGTAGGACCATCACACCCAAGATCCTCCATCTGCCCCACACCACCTGCCCTTCAGATCGGTTACGGAGCTTCTGTCATCTCATTACCTCTTTACACATGTCTTATCCTGTGATCAGGATACCTTCCTTCCCATCTACATGTGAAAACTTTCTATCCATCTCTGAGACATCACCTTCTCTGCTGGACACACTGTGCTTCTTTCCCTACTGTGCCCAGTTAGTTCCAGAGACCTCTACATGGTCCTCAGTGATTCTGAGACTCTTTGCATGTTCAAGTACAGTGTCCCATGTGGCCATTGCCTGTATGTATGTGTCAGCTTTTTAGACTAGAAGATTCTCCAGAATGGTGTTATGTCCTCTGTCCCAGCATCTAACATGGTACCTTAGAGCATGCTGTCAGATGCTTATCTGAATAGCCGGGTGAATAGTAAGTGGAAAATGACCAGAAATAAAGACATATACAATCATTATTATGAATTTCATCATTATTAACATATAAATCATTATTATGAATTTCAAAGACAGAACACTGGTATATGTGTGCAGGGGTAGGGACGAAGGTAAAGTTTATTTCAAAGAGAGAGAGCAGGGTTTTATTGTGACGTCAACCCCATTTACAACTTAAAACCACTTACTCTGCTTTGTATCTGCAGAACAGGGCCAGCAAACATTGCCCCCAGGAGTGCCGTGGAATCAATTCACATCACTTAGTTGCTTCAAAGTGTAAAGGTATTACTTTGCATTTACTACATGAAATAAAAATAATGTTGTCCTCTAGCAATTTTTTAAGAGAAAAGAATCCCTTTCTACACAGAAAATTTGTGGTAGGAAAGTAACTAGAATTGTTTCCACTTACAATGCTTTTAAGTTAGATCCCTGGAGCCATTTGGCCTGAGATATAAAGGTGGGAAGAAACTTACTTTTATGCACATGCATGCTCACACACAGTACCCTCTCTTATGTCAACCAGGCAATGACAAGTTACTTGGATGGTTAAGTCGAAATTAGTCCACCAAACAAAATTGGGCACTGTGTTGGAGAGCATTAGGGCTGCTGGGTTTTAAGGTTTGCCTTGGCTTGAATTCATTGTAACACTACCCACCTCTCTTCAGTTGCAGTATTCTAACGAGGTCACCTAGATGCTGTGAAACAGATGTGCATTGAAGGGAAGAGGAAGTAGGTGGTGTCCATTGAAAAGTGATAGCCATGGCAGAGGGGAAAGCTGAACACTATGCAGCATTATTGGGAGGACAGACAGTCCTAGCTCTCCAGGAACTGCAGTCTCATTAAGATCTTCAGCCTACAGTGGCCAGAGAGCCTAGTGGTGATCGCTGAGGTGCTAAGGTCAGACTGCTTGTGACTCTCAGCCCTGCACTTAAGAGCCATGTGCCCTTGGACAAATTGTTTAGTTATTTATCTTCTTATCCATAAAAACTGGAATAATAATAATGCCTACTTCATATGGTTCTTGGGAAGGTTACAGGTGTCGGTCTATGGAAAGACTGTCAAACAGGTCACGACTGTCTTCATGGAGAATGATACCATTACTGATCTAGGGTGGAAACTGACCTGACCTAATATTCTGACAGGGGAGGAGTGATCAGGGCTTCATCAATGGGCTGGAAAACCACTGAGCCAGAGAAGAACCGCACTTCAGTCAAGAAGAGAAACAGCAAAACCACCAAATGCAGTCCCACACCATCTTTGACATTCCTGAAAGTGCACTTTACCCAAGAACACTTGTGCTGTGGCCTGGGAGCTAATGAGGCATCTTTAAAGCAGTTTAACAGAGCTGTTACTCCATGATGCTGGACTTCCATGTTAGGCCTCTAGCTTCCTTCCTTGGCTCTTCTTTCCCTGCATCTTCAAAAACCTTCTAAACTTGCACTTATCACCTCTTTCTAAAAGGATTTATACTAATGAGGATATTGTTACCTGATCATGTCAACCATCTGTTTTGTGATTCACAGTGTATATGTTACAAATACACCTTCTGATGTGACACTGCAATGTCTACTAAACTCGTCACTGATTGGCAAGAACAGAAATCAGCAATTTGAATCCAGAAGTTTTTAGATTTACAAACTTATTTTTAGGAGTTTTTAATAATATGAATAAGGCTCCATGCTACAGTATTGCTGCAGCAGTTTGTCTGTCACTGATAGCAAAAGAAGTTGTGAGCAATTTCAGCATTCGACTTCTATATTTGCCCTTACTCCTACAAACTTTGTGAACAATATTATCTCCACCACATTCAATAAATACAAAAGCAATAAGAGTTTCACAGTGCTATTTAGAAGAGGAATTCCATTTTAATATAGAAGTAAGTGATCTCAACTGCCCAGTCCTGTGCATGTTTCCTGAGTGGAAGCTGGAATCCAAGCAGACACAGTCCCCTGGACTGAGGAGGAACAGAACAAGAGCCCAGGGGCTGCAGCAGAATCTGAAAGGAAAGCCCCTCCTAAAGGAAACCCCAGAAGTCACATGGGATTCTCAGTGGGTCTTTGTCTGAGCAGAGACCTCCACAGGCACAACTGTTACATCTTTCCAGCTCACTGTCTTACTAATGTTTTTGAATATCCAGAAAATAGTACATCTGGAACATTCTTTTATAACCTAGGTAATTTTTCTAAAGTATATTTCTCTGGTTGTTGTTTATAATAGTCTTTGTCATATTTTCTTTTGTTGAAACTTTCTGTTCATGGCTTACTTTCAATATCTGATATTCTAAAATCTATGTCTGTTCAAGAATAAAATGGGATGAGTAGAAAGGGTGATTTGGAGCACAGGCAATAGAGTCTGTCATTTCAAAACACTTCCTCAGCATGTTTGCTGTGCCTTTCTTTGTAGAACGTTTCTGTTCATCTTGCTGGAATTCCTTTCTTATTTCCCTTAACACACTTGAGTAAGCAGATTGCACAGAAAGAAGCTCCCCTAACCTTCATGATGCCAAGTGTGCCCTTCTATTTGGTGACTTACTGTTTAGTCTCACTCTGTAGTGGATATAAAACCTACAGTTGACTATTAAACCTAGCATGGGGCTCAGGGTGCAGGTGAGTGCGGGGTGGGGGCGGGGTTAGAGGTCTTCACCTGTGTAGTCAAAAGTCTATGGATAAATTTGTCTCCCCCCCCAATTTAAAAACTAATAGCCTGCTGCTGACCAAAAGCCTTGCTGATAATACAATTGATTAACATATATTTTGCATGTGGTATGTTATTATACACCATATTCTTACAATAGCATGAGCTAGAGAAAAGGAAATATTATTAAGAAAATCATAGGAGGGGGTTAAAAAAACATAGAGATAATACACTTATAATAGTACAATACTGTTCAAAATCAAAAATTTATGGGAAAAAACCCTTAAAATTCATTGATAAGAAGACAAGCAAAACAATTTTTAAGAAGAAATTCACATATGAAATATAGTTATATGTGGTATAGGGTTAATAAGCACATAGAACAGATCAATATTCATCAAAGAAATAGATATTAAATTTACAATGAAACACCACTGCACACCTATTAAGATGGTAAGATTAATAAATGACTGACAATACCAAGTTTTGGCAAAAATGTGGAAAAACAGAACTTCTCATAAAATTCTGCTGGCACAATCACTTTGGAAAACAGTTTGCTGTGTCCTAAAGTTAAATATATACTTTCTGAATGACCTAGTGATTCCACTTCATATTCACTCAAGAAAAAGAAAAAATACGTTCATAGAAAGACTTACATATTCACAGTAGTGCTATTCATAACGACCCAAACTGGAAACAACCAAAATATCCAACAATAAAAGAATGGTTAAACAATTAATGATACATCCATATAATTAAATACTATTTAAAAATATGAAGGAATGAACTGTTAATACAACAACAACATGGATGAACCATGAAAACATGGTGCTGAGTAAGAGAAGATACAGAATATACCATGGGTCTCTACCCATTAAATTCTAGGGAAGAGAAACCTAACATCATGATAGGTCAGTGATGACTGGAGCCAGGTGAGGAATAAGATTTACTAGGAAACAGTACAGGGCAGTATTTGGGAAGTGATATAAATGTTTTGTTTTTTTGCTGGTAGTTACAAGTATCTATGCTTATGAGTCCAAAACTCACTGGACTGCAAATTAAAAATGCAAGCTTTTTGTTATTTATAAACCAACTCAATAAAAGTTGATTTTAGTTTAGTTTTTTTTTTTTTTTTCTTTCGTGTGTAGAAGAACTAGGGTGTAGACCAGAGGTGCAGGGATTTAAAGGATTCACCAAAGTGGGAAGTAGAACAAGTGGATCTACTAAACACTCTGCTAAGGGGAACAGCTGGCTAGACAGGAGAGGTCTGCTGCACCTATGGGTGAGCTCTCTGGCCAGGAATGGAACATAGGCCTTAGTGGTGATAGCTCTGAGACTTAAATCCTAGGCCACCAGAGATAATCTTATTGATAAGATTAAGTGTGGCAGATATCTCTTGGTAGCTTTGATTTGCATTTCCTTGATGATTTGTGACCTCGAGCACCTTTTCATACACCTGATGGCCATTAATGGAACATCCTTTTTGGAGAAATTTCTGATCAAGTCCCCACACCTGTTAGGATGGCTATTATGACAAAAGAAACAAAAGACAACAGGTGTTGCCAAAGACATGCAGAAATCAGAATCCTTGCTCACTGTTGGTGGGAATGTAAAATCATGCAGCTGCTCTGTAAAACAAAATACAGGCTCTACAAATAAAAGAAACAAGAACCACCATTTAGCTTAGAAATCCCACCTCTGTGTATAGGTCCAAAAGAACTGAAATCAAGATCTCAACCAAGTTTCTGCACTCCCACGTTCATTGCAGCACTCTTCATAACAGCCACGATCTGGAAACAACCAAACAGCCATTGACAAGTAAATGGATTTAAAAAAAAAAACAAAAAACAAAAAACATTGCATATACATACAATTCAGTACCAGACTAAAAAACAACAAGGAAATCTTACCACTTCAGACAACATGGATGCATGGATAAACCTGCAGAACTTTATGCTAAGTAAAGTAAGCCAGTCTCAGAAGGACAAATACTGTATGTATATGAGGCGTGTATAATAGCCAAGTTCAAACAAGTAGAGAACAGACTGGTGATTGTCAGCAACTGGGGGAGAGGAAATGAGTTATACTTCCATGCTTATAAAGTTTCAGTTATGCAAGAGGAATAAGTGCTGGAGATCTGCTCTACAATACTGTGATTACAGTTAACAATTCTGTGTCCTGCACTAAAATTTTGTTAAGAGGGTAGATCTCATGCTAAGTGTTCTTACCATGAAAAAAAAAAAAAAAGTAGTGGCCACAGGAACTTTTATTTTTATATTTTTAAAAGATTTATTTATTTATGCATACAAGCTGGGGTACAGGCCAAAGTGTGGCGGGTGAGAGGATTCACCAGAGACAGAGTGGGGAACAGAACAGGCAGATTGGCCAAAATACACTGCTGAGGCAAGCAGCGGACAAGACAGGAGAAGTCTGTTTCCCATGTGGGTTGCTCCCTGGCCAGCCCGGGATCAAACTTGTGCCACAGTGGCTGCGTATTGCTTCATAATACGGTGCTTAATCCCCTGTGCCACCAGGGAGGTCCAACAGGAACTTTAAGATGGAAGTGATGGATATGTTTATAACTTTGATTGTGATGATAACAGCAGAAGTATACATATATGTCTGAGTCCATCAAATGACATTTATTAAACAGGCAAATCGATTTTTTTGTTTATCAACTCTACCTCAATAATGCTATTAAAAGATCAAGTGCAGGGGCCTCCCTGGTGGCGTAAGGGGTTAAGCACCACACTATGAAGCAATCTGTAGCCTCTGCAGCATGAGTTCAATCCCCGGCCAGCCAGGAAGCAACCCACATGGCACAGCAGACCTCTCCTGTCTCACCCACTGCTCCGCTCAGCAGTGTATTTCAGGCAGTCTGCCTGTTCTGTTCCCCACTCTGTCTCTGGTGAATCCTCTCAAACCACCCCCCACATCTCTGGCTATACCCCAGCTCTTGTATGCACAAATAAATCTTTAAAAATAGATAAATAAATACAAGATCAAGTGCAGGACATGGATCAGCACATTGCTGTTGGGAGTACACATTTTACAACTGTGTTGAAAATAATTTGAAATTATCTTATACATTTGAAAATCTGTATATCCCATTACAAAATTGCACTTCAGGATATATACCCTAAATAAATCTGTCCTAAAATTATTAAGGGGGAGTCTAAACCATGAAAAGTCCAGAAAAATCTGAAGAAAATAAGAGGAATTTCCTTTACCAGATATCAAGATTTACTGTAATGAGATATATAAACTAAATGTGTAATATTTGGGTGGAAATAAATCAAATTACAGGATAGAGAATTTAGAAACAGATGTCTGTATATATGGCATAGAATATGATGGTTGTAATTAGTAGTTACTGGAGAAATAATAATATTAATACATGCACATGTATGTTCCTGTGCATGTGAATGATACATTTATAATAAACTTATTATGTGCCAGGCACAATTATAAGCACTTTTATATATTAAGAAATAGTCCTGGGCCTCCCCTGTGGTGCAGCGGTTGAGTGCTGGGTTGCGAAGCTGCCCGCAGCCTCTGCAGCGCCAGTTCAATCCCCAGCTGCTCCCCGGTCACCTGAGGAGGGTCCCGCATGGCGGCAGACCTCTCCTGCCGCCTGCTGCTCCCCTCAGCAGTGTACTTCGGTCCTTCTGCCTGCTCTGCTCCCCGCTCTGGCTCTGGTGAATTCTCTCACCCTCCCGCGCTTCTGACTGTACCCAGTGCATGTATAAACAAAACAAACAAACAAATAAAATAAATAAATAAAAACATGCCTCTATAAAAAAAAAATAAAATAAAATAAAAAAAAAGAAATAGTCCTTATAACAGGCCTAAGAGAGCAGGCACTAAAAAATAATAGTGACATCAGCTAACCTAATTTAGATACTCATGGTAATTTACTAAATTATTTAAGAACAATGTTGAACATTTGTGGCTCATGTGAAAATTATAATTCCCTCACAAGAGAAAAAAAAGACGTAAATAAGTCTTTAAAACATCTTTTATCCCCCATTAAAAACACTGTTTCCAATGAATATACACACAATTTAAGAATTAGTAGACTTCTGTTAGGAGCTTTAACTTATATGATTGTATTGAAAAATAGGTGAGCAAATGGGAGAGAAAGTAAGGCAGTTAGCTGTCTCTAGGGGGTGGGACAGGTTTCTTATCTCTGTGGCTGTCTGTTTTTCATTTTGTAAGGTGTGGTCACATGGCACAGTCTATTCTCTGGATTTAAATGGAAGGTGGACACTATTCTTGTTTTCTTATTTTTTTTAAGATTTATTTATTTTTTATACAAGCACTGGGGTACAGGCCAGAGGCACGGGAAGGTGAGAGAATTCACTAGAGGCAGAGCAGGGAGCAGACCAGGCAGAAGCACTGAAATACACAGCTGAGGGGAGCAGCAGGAGAGGCAGGAGAGGTCTGGTGCGCCATGTGGGAATCTCCCTGGCTGGCCGGGAATCGAACGGGTGCTGCAGAGGCTGCGGACAGCTTCACAGCACTGCGCTCAACCCGCTACGCCACTGGGGAGGCCCGCTATTCTTATTTTCTACATGTCCCTCCACTCTCTCAAGTCCCCCCCCCCACACACACACCTTTCTTATTAGTGTCAGATGAGAATAATTACCCATATTTTGAATCAGGCTTTGTGGGAAGAGGAACTAGTGGGAGAAGAAGAACAGTGGGTACAGAGCAAATGAGGCGGGTCTCCCCTGTACATAAGCCTAATAAAGTGACGATTCCTCTCCCTTCTCTTCTTGCGTGTGCTGGGGCTGTGGGTTTAGGAGAATGTGAAGACATGAGTTCAGATTTCTAATCATCCAGAGATCATGTCAGCCAGCAAAACAACACACTCCTGCCCTGGCCTCCTCGCCCGAAAGTTGACCCTGCCTCGGTGGGACCACCCTCCTTCTAGCATAAAACCAAATCCTTCTATTTGCTCATCCATGACTGCTCCCACACACTTAGGAGGACAAATGTGTTTAATTACCAGATTTATTTTGTAATCCAGAGGGCTACCACCCTACAGAGACTCCTGCTGAGGTCACAATGTTCATTTGCCTCTGAGAAGCCTGCTGTGATTTTAGTCCATATTGCCTCAGAAGTGAAGAGTTCAAGCTTTGCACAGCTTATAGACTGTCTGCCACTAACAGGATGCTTCCAGAACCATAAACAATAACTAAAAAAAATTCTTCCAATCTTGAAATACATACTATATACTCCACCCATTCTGCCTTCTTTGCCTCCTGATTTTCTTTCCGTTTTTCTTGGCAGTTGTCAGTGTTGGGTAAATATGCCTTTTACAGAGTTGCCAGTCTGTCAGGTCCCAAGGAGAGGAAGGAAAATGGCAAGATAATCAATTTAGGATTGTGTCTGGCAGAAGGTGTGTTCCAGTCTGTGTGGCAACAGGTTAAAACAAGATAAAACCTAACAGAGGAGTAAGGATGCCACAGTCAGAAACCAAAGTCCAAAACATAATGAAATCCATGTCCTAAATGTCAGTGTCATTAAAACCAAGAGCAGGGGGTGACAGTAGAAGGAAAGGGCCAGAGAGGAACAGCTGCAACAGTAGCATTGGGTCTTTTAAAAACTACTTAAAAAGCAAGAAAACAGTTTTCAAAATGAAGTTGGTCCCCAAAAGTAGAGTGCTTTTAGGGCTGTGCTGTGCCATGTTATGGAGGCAGGGAGCAGCACCTCTCCCCCAGATGGCCAGTGGCTCCAGGTAAGCTCCCCATCTTGTATATCACTCTGTAGCACCACAACATAAGCTTTAAAGAAAAATCAAGGTTATTAGCTATCATTTCAAGTAGTTTTGCAGAATTAATATTTTCCAAGAACTCCTTGTGTTTTAAAATTATTCCAGTATTCTAGGGCACACTATCCAGTCATTTTATGGGGGTGGGGAGACATATATCACATTAATGCAGAAGCAGAATTCAACATGCACATCAGGAGAACAGAGTCTTATAGGGAAGAAAATGAACATTTACTTGGATATTATGTTTTAGATTTTAAACAAAAGAGTGAACCTTTGAAATGAAAAACTAAAGGAACCATTTTCTTAAACAAAGGCACTGATAATGAATCATACATATCAAAGATTTGTATAAAATGATAAATTACATCAAAATGGTACCAGGAGAATATAATAAACTTTCAATCTCTGGTAGTGAATGAAACAGGGATCCATTTAACAGAAAACCTTTCCTTGAAAGAACAGAAATATATTTTCTGAGCATTTGAGCCCTGTAAGAATATGGCACTGCGGTCCTCTCATAAAAGGCAAAGGCATTGTTTTCTCTGTGAACTCTTCAGGATAACAAAGTAGACTATTATGTCTAACAATTTTGGTTGAAAATGAGAACCATTTTATTCTTTGTACTTTCATAAAGTGGTAGGTTTTGTTTGCTGAAGCCACTAATGACAGGCCTTCATTGCCAAGAGCAAAACAACAACAGTAACAGAAACTGCAGATGCACAAATGCAAATCCTCAGTGGCGCAGTTAACATTGAGAAATCCTCAAGGTGCTTGCTGAGTACCTTATCATTCCTGACTATTTATTCAGCTTATACCCCAACTTCATCCCTCACCAGATGTCAATTATGCAGTCACTTTAATAAACACATATTTACTGAGTGAACAAACAATAGCAGAATGTAAGAATGTTAAATAAAAAAAAATAAAATTGAAGACTTGAAGGTATGGAAACTAAGGCAAAAATTTCCAGGGGAAGAAACTTTACATTTTGATCTTTACAGTTAACTATCA